CGATCGATCTCAAAACTTTCGATCTAATGAACCGTCAATTACGAAATTGAGACATCTATAATATTAATCGCGTGAACTATTCACCTTTTATTCGCCAAACACGTGTCTCTATGGCCTCGATGTCTTTCGTTTTTATTTAGTACGCGTAAAATAGATATAATACAGTTTTCTTTTGTTTGAAAAAAGTAACTGATATTTGCGTGCACACTTTGCAGTTAGCCTATATTATATTATGCCGATAAGACATTAGAAATAAAGTTAATAATCTGGCGACAAAATAAGATAAAATAAATATAATACGGCGTATTTGTGATAAGAGAGAGTTGACAAAATTAATACATATCATATAAAACATTATAAACGAAAATAAGAATATATTCGAAAATGTAATATTATAAAAATTGAAATAGAGAATGATTGTTCTCTATTAGACACATTTTTAATATTTTTATATTACATATAAATTGGCAGCGCATATATGTATAACAAAATAATATTTATTATTAGAGTATGTTTTTTTGTTGGCCATATATTATTAAATGTTCTCAAAATTTCAAGGAAAAATATATTACAGTTGTTTTTCTACTCATATATCATCACTACCATAGTTACTTTATAAATGGAAACTTTTTATTACAATTAATACAAATCATATTTTGTCATATCCGTAGTATTACGATTGTTATGGTCAGAACTCACATGAAATTGACCTTGCAACTTAATTAACACATCTGGTTGAATTCTAAACGTTAAAAAATATGCACACACAATGTGTATTTACATTTGTACAAAATTAGAAAGAAAGAGTGAATATATTTAGAGAAGGTAATCATATATTAGCTAATCCAAATTAAAAAAAAAAAAAAAAAAAACGTATTTTATTCTTCATATAATTAAATTATTTTTGCTAATAACTATAATGTAAAGACACATACGATATTTATATAATTTTATGTTTGCTTTTTGATCCTCTTCATTTTAATATTTTATGTAAAAAAAATATTTTAACCATCTTATTCTTGCTTTGTCTACTTGCAAAGAGAATTTTCCGGACATTTTCACTTTCTTCTTTTGTTTCACTTTTTAGACCATTTATATTATTATTTATTTTTATTAAATCTATAATTTATATAAATAAATTAAATGGAATTAATTGTTATATGAATCTAAATAACTATAATGTAAAGACACATACGATATTTATATAATTTTATGTTTGCTTTTTGATCCTCTTTATTTTAATATTTTATGTAAGAAAAATATTTTAACCGTCTTATTCTTACTTTGATTACTTGCAAAGAGAATTTTCCGGACATTTTCACTTTCTTCTTTTGGTTCACTTTTTAGACCATTTATATTATTATTTATTTTTATTAAATCTATAATTTATATAAATAAATTAAATGGAATTAATTGTTATATGAATCTAATTATAGATCATAGTGACACCTGAAGATTTAAAATTGGATTGCCTAATACTTGTTTTCTATGTATGTACATAATGTAATTGTATGATTGCGATTCAATCAGACGATAGACCTATTGGCTTTATTTTTACCAATCAACTTTTTAAGGTTTGGGTGTGCAGACTGAGTTGATAATTGAATAGGGTTTCTATATGTATCAACTGTTGCTCGTATATTATTTTTGTGCATACAAAACATAGATTTTATACTTATTTATTGTTATCGATTGTTTCCATTGAAACTTTATCATTATGGATTATACAAGTTCAGATCACATAACGCCTAAATAATTGCATAATAAAACAATAACTTAATATAATTAAGCTGTTTGATCAAAATCGATAAATACTCTTATCATTGATAACATTATGTACCCATTATTATATTATCAAGAAACATTTTTACTTATTACTACCGCGAATATATAAATGCATATGGAACACTGTAAAATATTTTCGCGACAGGGGGGAGGGGGGTGTATTGATCCGTAGTAATGACAGCACCGTGGCGTCAGAGACAGCTGATCCGCTATCTATTATATATATAACATAGTTCTAGCACTTTCATACGTATAATTGTTTGCAAAATATAAGCACATTTGATACGCAATAAGAACATGATTAATAATACAGTAAGTGTGTGTCATGATAACAGCCTAACTTATTCAATTAACTTAACGATGTGATTTAATCAAATTAAAAATAAATTGAACATAGATTGTCCTTTTATTATAGAATGTTAAATAAATAGAGTTTCAAAAACGAAATAATGATGGATTATACATACAGTAAAATAATATTACATGAGAAGGGATTATTTTCACGTTAGCGATCAATATTTAGTTGTGCCATCATTAACTTTATCTACGTAAGAAAATATCTTTATCTATACAGTTTGGAAGTGCGTGATAAAAAAATATGACGCACAATATAATCGCAGCGGATGAAAACAAATAAAAATAGAATGCGCTGCAGAAAAATCATTAGAGTTCATTGGCATCATTTCTTGGCAACTCTAGAAGAATAATATTATAATAAGAGTGGGTCACACACGCACACACACACACACACTATATATGTGCTAGAGCTATATTGATCCTGTGATAAAAACTTTGCACAGAGAATCTACTGATATTTATTATCTTAATATATCTAGATCTTAATTATTTTAATATATGTATATTTTAAGTAGAAAAATGAAAATGATCGTAGAGAAGATCTCCTTTACTTCCATCTTTAAAGTTAAAAGAAATATATGACATATAAATATGTTAAAAAAACGAAAAAATAAAGTACATAATAGGAAAAAGGATCATAAAAGACAGACGAAATAAAGCTTTTATTCGTTCAATTTACCGTTCTCTGAATGTAAAATGCGATACTAAATGCTTAAGTTGCGCGAGGGCAAAGTTCGTGATAGATAGGGTTGTGCAAAAAAAATGTTATGACAGTGAAGTATTGCGAGGGAGAACGAGATAGAAAAATATCAAACAGTCTCGCGCTCATGCATACGACACGCTACGCACGTGCTATCTGCAATTTGCACGTTGCATCACAGCCGTGCGCACGCGAATGAATCTCGAAATGTACCGCGATGAAGGTTACTCGGTCAAATTAGCGCCTGGTAGTCTGCCTTGATCCACCTGAATCACTCATTGTGATCATTAAAAAATGGAAAATAGTTATATGACTGTATTATATATGTGAGCGTTTAATCTAGCATGTGATTATATATGCGATTCTCTCAGGGACAAAAAATTTTAACTATAATTGGCCTATAATTGGTTAAAGTAAACTTAACTGTTTAAAAGAAAATTAAAAAATTGTTTATAATGTAAAGTTAATGTAACATAAATATGTATGTAATTTAAGATTTGCGATTTTACTTGAATTACATATAGTGTTGTCATGAAATAGACAAGTATATTTAGCACTAGATAGATGAGACAGCTATTAATATATGTGTATGTTCACTTGCTAAATTTGGAAAAAAGTATTAAACCTAATAAAAAATAATTTTTTTTTGCAATTTTATATATATATATATATATTTTTTTTTTTTTAAATGTATTTGTGTTATATGAATTTTTTAAATATTTTTATCTATATATACGCTTTTTTTTGACAATAAATTTGCACACTATTTATTATTTTACTTATCTTTATTAAGCACTATGTCAATATCTGAATGACTTTCTCAATTTTTATTATATAAACGTAAGACGAATATATAATGTATATTAATGGAAACTGGTTATGTAAATTGCCTCAGTCTGACTATCACGTATGATTATATGCAGTAATGTGTGTTTCTTTTCGTTATGTTTGGTTCCTTCGAAAATAGTACATCTTTATCACTCAGAAAACATTCAAGTTTTAGTTCCTATTTTAACGATAAGAACGTAGCTCTGGTTATTTTTTTGACATATACTATTTAATATTGAAGAGTGCAACCTTTGAGCCTGCTTTATTACAAGTTGCTGCGAACGTAAAAATTTGTTATCATTTATTATGAGAAAATTTCTACGACTTTATTCAAATTGTTGTCAAACACTTGTGTAAATATGTAAATGGCATAACTCCCAATAGCGTAAAGCCAAGATATTTATATGTATGCGCATGAGTGCGAAGAATTACTTGCTTATGTAGAATAATTTTAGAATTTTGTAAAACTTTAAACTTTCAACAAAGTTAAGTTTTTACATTCTTAAATTGATTATATATCGTGTTTACACACAATAAGTGTAATTATAAATTAAAATATATGACCTTGAACATTAGAAAGCAAACTCGAAAAAAGGAATGTTATCTTATAGTGAACTATAAGATGCGTAGAAATATATAGGTACAAGTGTGTACATATACATACTTGGAGCTACATATGACGACTATCTCATGATCTAAATAATTCAAAGTTGAAATATTTATTTGTTAAAATAAAAATTTAAAGGTGTTTTTTTCAATTTATATTAAATTTTATACATTTTAATATTATTAACAGATAAAACAATATATAAAATATTATTTTTTTTCTCTATCCTCAAAATTTCGCCATCGGTTAAATTATCAATTCTATCAATATTATCGAACAATATTTAAAATACTAGATTGATTTTATAATTATATTATTTATATATTTCTTGAATATCGAGAATATGGAGAACTCATCAGTTATTAATTAAAAATTCTATAACAGAGATTATGTAAGAGCATGTCCACACAAAACGATAAGAATACATCATTCTTATCACGTTTCATTTATTGATGCGACGTTAGCAAAGTAACCACAAGAAAAAATTCATCACGTAATTGGTCGGGAAACAAATTTTCCTCATTGTGAAACAACGGACGTCACACTTGTCCGCACATTTGCATACACCATTCACTATTCGTGTACACTCAGAGTTCTTAGAGCGATTATACTCCAATTTAGGTGAACACGCGCGTTAATAAGGTATCCAGATATCAATGACATTTCGGTCAAGGTGATCGTGCCGACAAACCTGTCGACTTCAGTCAGATTTCGTGTACTTACTGCATCAGACGCCGAAAACGGGGTTGACCAGACTCAGTCCGGCTGAAGTCTAAGCCACACTGAACAGTCTTCCCAGCACACGCGCTCGACGTCTACAGAAATAGAGGTGGCAATTGGTAGTCGAACTTGCGCCTTGCCTCGTACAGAATATCTGTCTACTATAACGAGTGTGCTGCTGCCATCTCTCCGATGCAAATGCTCGCCGAGCTTTTCTGATTGTTCCCTTCGCGACGAGATTATCACTCTTGATTAACATGATAATATTCGATTCTTTTTTTAAATGATTTTCTTTCATATTTTTACTTTAACATGAAGAAAACATATATTATTGCGTTTTAGAAAAAGAAAAAAGAATGTCAAGTAGAGAATATAGTTAACAAGTCAGACCAAACAAGAGGGATATTTCAATAAATAAAAATAATTGGTAAATTGGGAATATCAAAATTCTTAAGCGATATTGAAATTTAAATTAGATACAATAAAATTGACGGAAATCTAAATGTGAGATGATAGTTTATGTACAGCTTCGTTGGCTATTGTTCATTTGAGAGGCCATTAATGATTACGATTACTACTTTGAAGAAATATAATTATTTAAATAGATCCTGTGTGTTAGGAAAAATTGCAAATGTAAGATATTTTTTTTAGATTGTGGTGTAGATTTCAAAATAATTATATTTTAAGAAGGTTTGCAAAACAGTAATGCGATTCTTGATAAAATATTAACTAAGTTTTAACAACAAAGTTGCAGAAACTACAAAATTCATATAAATAATGCAGGGTTGTTTCTCAACGTTTTATTTGTTTGTGTACATTTATAGGCCCTAATTAGGCGTGAGCTAGTCCATTCCCAACTTGAATTAACAATTCAATTCTCAATAATAAACGGATCACATTCGGTAAGCCGTATCGTGATTCTCGAGACATACGTGTAGGATCGAGACATCTGATAGGATTATGGCGGAGAGATAACACATATGTGTGTGCTGTTTAAATAGTTGATTCTTTTATGAAAAATCACACACATTTTGTTTGATATTTGTTAGCATAAGTATATTCAAGTACAAAAACAAGTCTATAGTCATTTTCTATTTTTTTTTTTTTAATAAATAAAGCTTTCCATTATTGTTTGTCATTGTAATTGTTTCCAATATAAGTTTGTATATAAATTTAAACATCGATTAATCAATTGTTTACGTTATCCGCCGTTCTTAACAGATACTTCGAGTCTACGTACATACAATAATAATATATGTACACAAAATTGATTGGCCTAGCTAAGCTAGCTAATGTGAATAGACCGTGTAACGCGGATACATCGTGTTAGTAACTCCGCAACGTACAGCCCTTAATCTTGTAAACCGCGAATGCGTCAATATAATCATCATTTGATTAACAAGATTAAGATCCTAGGAAGCGCATTGTATTGATTACTGATTCAAGTTTATCATACACTGAATAGCATTTTGGTTTTTCTCTAAAAAGTTTCGTTTTTCAAATTAGAGAAATATTTCTGTTTCCGTGAAGAAAATTATTTCCTTGTTTGGATTAATTCTTTTTATACATATAATTAATAATAAACATAATCGTTTACAAATTTATTTGACAATAAAATGTTATACATTTTGCTTTTATATAATTTAAGAATTATCCAATATCTTGTAACTCTTTCACATCATCATTTGTTTTTCATTTTCTTAAATCTCTCATTAATAGTCGTTAAACAAAAGCATCTCGCGTGATTTTGCACGCTACACGGCCTGATTAAAATATACGTGTATATGTATATACAATAGTCCATTACAGTTTTATATTTATAATTTGTATATATATATATTTTTTATTATTTTTTATTTATACATGTACGTGGAAGTCAAAAATTAATAAAGTTAAAAAAATATAATCTTTAAAATAGAAACTATAACCGTTTTTCTCTTCAGCTACAGCGCTATTGTGTCACTTATGAATTCTTTATTTCTTTCGAAAACGCATCGAACATTATCTTTTTTTCCTATATATCTATCTGTGCATACTGCTGTTTATCGACATGAAGTCCTCGGGACATCCATCTCGCGAAAATCACGCGATTGATTTTCAAATAATTTTTCCTTTTATTCTTTCTTTCCATTTGGTTCTTTCGCGCGATTTCTACGACACGGTAAGGGTCTCGAAAAATAATTGATTGAGCGTTATATCTTTCATAAGTTTTCTAGCAATTTCTCCGTAAAAACCGACCTATTATATTCAAGTAAGTACAACGTGACGAAAAATTGGTACAAGGAAAGTGTTTTATCTTGTGGTGAGCTTATTATATTTTTTTCGCTTTAATTATTCATTTCTTAGATGCCTTATAAATAATTTTGCAAGTTATGAGCCTCCCAAAGTGCCTCTAATAAAATTTGCAGTCGTGTTTCAATACATATACCATAAAAGTTTGTTTAATATACGAAAAGTCACATGAATAGTTAGTATACGGTTCGAATTTTATATCCTTAACTATCTCTTAAATATTCCGTACATATAATCATCGAATTTCTTGCGTTCTTATTCATTTGCAACATAATGATTATAATTTATACACGATTTTTGCTGCAAGATCACTTAATATACCGAATTAAATATACATCTCTAATATCTAGTTCTAATCACAATTTCACAAATATATACTTAAAATATAATCTTAACTTATTATGTTACTAACTTATTATTTAACTTATTTATTTACATAAAATTTACAAATTGTAAATTACAGTTAATATACTTCTGTAAGCAACTTAATTTTATTTTTAAATTATTAATTTTAAATCTCAGATTGCTCAATAAAATAAAAATTTTATATATTAAAAACAAATTTTTCATTTCTTATTTATTATTTTTTATAAATTTTAATATGATAAGTATTATTCTTATGCGGTGAAATAATGAGTCATGTTTTAGAAGAAATCAATAAACCACAAAATCAAATCGTATATAACACGCAGATTCCAATATAGAAGATTAATATAATATCAATAATATTATTTGCAAATACAAATAATCAACATTTACAAATATTAATATAATATTTCATGTAGTTACTAAATATTTATATAAAATTGTCGAATATTGAAAGATTATTACTAATATTTCAATATATATTCGAGCAAGTACGATCAAAAATCAGAATTGCTCTAATTACTTCTTAATTATAAATAATAAATAAGAATCTTATTTTGTTGAATTAAACATGAAGAATCTACGCATAAATATCTCCTTTTATTAATTATAGCATAATGAGTGGCTCATTATTATAAAATATGTATGCAAAACAGTCTAAGTGAGCGTGACAATTGTGATAAACACTATACTTATGTTTTTGATGAACGTTTCTAAGTGAATTTGTGATAACAATACTTTGTGTGAGTTTGACTTTAACTGTGCAAATGGCATGTGCAATATATACAAAATTAAATGGATTCCGTGAAATTGCTTAACTCTGTAAGATCATATAATTATGATTCTCTATCTTTGGATCAAAGATGTTGAATAAAATTATTGTAATTAAATTAATGTAATGATATAATTATAAATGCGATTATTCAAAACGCTTGTCGTTTTCAATTTTTTGTTAATTCATATTTTTTAATTTTATTAATAACAGTCTATATTCTTAATGGCAAGCATCGAAAAATTGTTGTACCCGTTTTTTTCATCTATTACGCGAAACTGAATACATATTTTTGTAAGTTAATAGATGAATTTTTATTTAGAATAAATCATTTTTGTATTTAGACTCTATTATCTGTTGATGTTAGTATCATCTCTTTTTAATATATTTTTTGTGATGCTTTAGCAAATGTGTACATTATAACAATCCGAAGCGATTTTTGAGATTTGTAGAGAATATTTATTCGTAATAAATATTATAGAGTATAGAATAAATTGAAAAAGATGGAATTATGTAATGCGCGCAGATATTGTAGAAAATATCTACTGATAAAATGGATCTTATAGACACACACAGAGTAAACAACTTGCACAATGTTGGGTCAACTTGTTATCGTCATTATGTAATAAATATACACTAGATTCAATACGCCTGTACAAGCGTTGGTCTTTAAGCGTGAAATTATCGGCACAATTTTGTCTTATGCATTTTGCCTTGAATAAAATAAAGTGGCAAAACTGACCTTTAGAGCCAATCTTGAGGAGCATCCTTAGTTAAAGCTCGGATAGTTAAGTCTTGTTTTGCATGTTATGCTAAATTGCTTCATAACATCTCAAAATTTATAATTTTGCATTGAGAAAACAAAAGAATTGATAATAATAATTAATTGATTAATTGACAATTTTGATAATTGTCAGACACAATTATAAAATATTAAAGAATTGAGAGAGAGATATATAAGATATCGTAATTAACACATAATTTTATGATATATAATATTGATAGTCTGTATTTATTTAATCTAGCCAAACAAAATTTAATTTAAAAGAAATATTAAGTTATTTTTAGATTTTAACATATGTGAAATAGAGAAAGAACTTAGGCATTTCTAAAATATTAGATAAATCAGAAAGATGAAACTTTACTTTTACTTCGAAAATATTATTATGTCTATTTCTTTGAAACAAATTGTATTTTTAAATATATAATTTTCTGACAGCGACGTACTTTTTCCTTTATGATAATATTGACAAATATAATACATATCCCCGTTACTCCACATTAATTATTTCAATTTTAATTAAATATAATTTATTTAGTGTTTTTTTGCAAATGTTAGTCGATTATATAAAATTTTGTGTTCCGATTCTATGTATTTTTATAAATAATTTTGTATCATATTTTTAATAAAACGACACGTTGATTAAATCAATCTATAATTAAACTTCGATACTGCGTAAAGCTCGGGGTAACTTAATATGAGTCATGTATGCATATACTTTTGACGCGATATCGTCAAGCTGTTTGAGAGACTTTGCAAAAAAATACGATATTATGTTTCTCCCCATATGACAGATATCGTCGAGTGAACGATGCGCGGATATCGATCGAACAATATATCTGATAGCACGTTCGTCAAACATCACTTTTAATTAAACGAGGAGTTGGAAAGCTGGCTCTTTATTGTAGCTGGCAGTACGGCTACTTTTGTACGCAGATAGAATTCGACTGGCGTCAGAAAGTCAAAAAGCACGTTGCTTTTCCGAAATTCGCTAAAAAAGTCGATGACACACGTATACATAATATCTTATAATCATATACATACGCATATCATGTACATTATAGAAAGTTTAGCAAATACAGATGGCCGAATTAAGGAGACCTTTCTTTGGGCTTCTAAAATTCTTTCACAAGACTATAATATATTTACTTTTTCATGTACTGTCGCATGTACATTTGTGTGATTGTATTTTTTTCTTTCTCTAGATTTTCAGACTAATTTTAATCTATCTTACTGCACTATAATTTAAATTTCTCATTTAATCTTATTTAAAATCATTTTTACCTCAATTCTTGCATTTTCCTTTATTACAAGAACATATGTTCTATGCGTTCATTTACTAATTGGAATTTTGAAGATAATATTTATATTTTTTAGACGCTTCTCTTTTTAGGCATTGTTGAGTTAATTATTTCTAAATTTTGTACAAAAACTTTAAAAAATTTCTACAGAGAGTGAATGAAAGATAGAGTTCTACATTCACTGTTTTGTGAAAGATTTTATAAACTTCGGTCTCCTTAACTCGCCAGGTACTTTTCCTTTTTATATATATAGTTTGTCTTCACGCACATCGTGCGTCCGTCCGTGGCGGGTTTTTAAAACCTGCTCTATTTCATCGCAAGCTTATATAATAAACAACAGAATCTCTTTATGCAACTTTTCATGATCAACTCGACTATCGCAAGATTTATTATCGTATTGTTTTAATCATAGTCGCTAGTCGAGGTATACCACAATTGCAACAAACTTAACTGGTCCGTTGCTAATTTCTTAACAGACATGTAAATTGGGCATCTAAATGAAAGTGCAACGCTAAGAATGATTGTACAATGTGATTGTTTCCGCTTTTGTGCGAAAAAATCCCTTGTTTAAAAATCCGCTATGGCGCGAAGGTAAATTTACGGGCGTAATAACAATATTGTGAGCAATCTCGCAAGAAAAAATATCGTGCAGATCCTCAATTCAGGCAACCGAATCACGGAGCGCGTTCGTCCTAATTCTCTAGTTAATTCCGACTGCATCATAAAAAAATCCTTTTCGTATCTCTCTTACCCGTTCGCTTCTCAAGGTTCAATCCTTCGACCTGGAAGACTCTAAACCTAACTGATGTGTTGTGTTGTAAAAATAGGCAAGTCTTACGCGCGCTATATGTATGGATGCGTTGTGTTCGTCTTGCCAGGCAATTACTCCTTTTCTTCGATCTCTTGGCTCTCCGCGCCCAAAAGAGTCGACTTGTCTTCTTCGTGCTCCTCGACTTCCGGCTCCTCTATGTTCGGCCGTTGACGTCTCGATGCCTTACGTTGCACGTAAAACATTAGGACGATACTGATGCTCGCCAAAGCGGCCAGTCCTGCGAGGACGATGTAAATTGTTACCGGCATTTGGGTCGAGCCCTGTAAATTCAATGAAACGTTAGTTTTTGGTTAACGTACTGATTATATCTTCATGATAGATATTTTTATTGCGCGACAAATTGAAGTATTGAATAATGTACTCCACTTTCTTAAATACTTTCATAAGTTTCCATTGCGTGAAATGTTTTTATTTAATTGATATCATGCAATATTTCTTTTTCTTTTCTTTCTTTATCTTTGTTATATGTTTCTATATTTAAATAATATGCCATTTATGATAACAAATTAGATCAATTAATAAATTATTAATATTATAAAAGTTATTAATTTAATCAATAATATTAATTTATTTAATAATGT